ACTTTCTGGTAACTCCTATCGTGGTGCTTCTTGGGCAGGAGTCAGGTGGTTGGGGTTCCCCATTCAAGCCTGTTGCATGATCAACGCTACCCACTTACTGGACATAGTGTCGGTTTCTTGAAGTGTAGAGGGGACCTCTTCCTTTGAACAGCCAGTGCAGCACATGTAATTGTGGTGCCTAGAGGACCTGTGCTTCTGTGTCAGCAACTTCCAAAGCAGCTCAAACTCCCTCATATGCTGCTAGCATCTCTTTTGCATTTGGGGTATAATGGGCTTCAGATCCTCGATGCCCCCTAGAGGGTAGACCCTGGAGGTCGACCTTGGGTTTCTCCTGGTGTTTTGTGCCAGAGGCTCAAACCCGTGGGGACATAGTTGTTATCTTACTGATCACATCTGTAGGTATGTAACAATGTCCGTCCTGCCTTTTTATTCCCAAGAACTGGATCTCTCATGTGGGTCCTTTGACCTTGCTTTTTTTTTTTTTTCAATGATGAAACCAGCTTTCAGAAGGATCTGGATTATCCTCTTTGCTTTTCTCAACTACTTCCTCCACCATGTTGCCCCACGCAATGATGTTGTTGATGTATTGTAGATGTTCCAGTGCAGTCTGGATCAGTCCATGACAAATGGTAGGACTGTGCTTCCCTGGCATGGTCAACTTCAGGTGCCTTGGGTAACCCTCCACTTGGAGGCAAACTATGGCTGAGTGGTTGAGTCTTGCTAATCACTCCTTGGGTCTCCAGCTGATTAATCAGATCATGAATGGAAAACAGGGAGTCTTGGTTGGTGCAATATTGCCAGTGGCGCACCATCATTGTAGCAATTGGCTCCTGCTGTTCTTTGGCAGACAGCAACCCCCCAACAAAGGGATCCTCCAGGAGGCTGGGCAAGGTAGGCAGCTGTTTAACCTTTCCAAATCCATGGCAACTACATCAAAAGCCCATCACTTCCTTTTTGGGACCTTGAAGTACCTTCTCCTGAGGTAGTCTATGCCAAGGATACACGGGGCCTCTGGGCCGGTCACAATGGGATGCTTTTGCCACTTGTCCCCTGTTAAGCTCACCTCAGCCTCCAATACAGACAGCTGTTGGGAATCCCCTGTCAATCCAGAAATCCAGATGGATTCCTCTTTGCCGTACCCTGATGGCATTAGGGTACACTGTGCACCAGTGTCTACCAAAGCTTTATACCTCTGTGGAACCACCAGGCCATCGAATCCACACAGTCCAGTAAACCCAGTCATTCCTTTCCTCTTCCTGGTGTGCAGTGTCAGACCAGAAGTCCCTTCACCAAAATCAAGGGAGGCAGTCTCAGTCCTCTTCTATACCTGGGGAATGACTGGTTGCCTTCTACCATCTCAACAGCAGCTGAACTGACAGCCGTCTTGGATGGCCCTTCTTATCAGCTGTCTTCCCCCTCGATTTGTGTACATGGGCTCCTAACTTGGAGATGGGCTCACCATCCCATTTCCTCATGTCCCCCCCCCAGTCACACAGGAGGAACCAGAGAGTGCCACGCAGCGTGTGCCTGGGCTCCCTTCCCCTCTGCCCAGAGGGGCTGGGCCTGCAGGGCATCCCCAACCACCAAGACGCTGGCCTGCGGGGATGGGGATGGAGACAGGTTTTTTTCAAAACATTGGAGGCAGTGGGATGCTCTCTCCACAGTTGGTATATTGAAGTGTGGTCAGTCCATCATCGCCAGGTGATTGGCATATAACACTGGTGCATTTCAGATGAACTTTCTGCACATGCCCATATATGCTGGACATCACCTGCATCTTTCAAAACTTGGTTGTCATCCAGGTCACTGTAGAAGACTTTCCAGCACCACTAATTCTCTCAGATATTGGATGCCTTCTTCAGTGGTAGTGGCAGCAATCTGCATGCTGAATGGCAGCTGTAATCTTTTAGCATATCTCAAAGTTTGCCCAAGGTTAAGGACCAGCTAGTTTCCTAACCTCTGTGGTGACTTCTCTCACTTCTTGCTTCCTTGCTGAAGGACCAGCTTCCTGATCAGACCTTTCCCCCTCCTCCTCCTGTATGGACCCATCGACCTGTGCTTCCATTGCTTTTTTTTGACTACTAGGGCAGTTACTGTAGTTGAGGTTTGGGTCCCTATCTTATCCATGGTGTTCCCAGATGTGTCCCTTTCTCAACCATGCTCCTCTGATGGTGCTGAGGAGAGGCTCAGGAGGCACGAGGAAAGCCCCAGTGCAGTGCTAAGAGCTGCTGGGTTTTGCTGGGGTAGGCAAGGCACCCTTCTGCCAAGTAACACGCCAATTCAGTGGGATTACACGCCTGTGGAGGTGTAAGATTTCAGGCTTTGGGAGGTGATAACCACGCCAGGCACCTGCCCAAGTCCTGCCACACACCCTCCCACCCAGGGACTGATGGCCTAAAGGCACATTTCCTTCTCACCACACGGACAAACTGTTTCCTCTTAACATCCGACTAAAACCAGTTTCTACACACGTGGCAAAAAGATAACAACATCAATCAAGCCGCTTAGTTAAGGCTGTGTGAAGACCCCTTGTGCCCGTGCCACAAAGGCGGCCGTGTCAGTCCTGGAAGGGAACTGGGAGGTGCAATCCCTCACCTCTCCGCAGGACAGCCCTCCTGGCACAGGAGTGGTACCCGTGCCAGGGCCAACCCGTGTGGCCGCTGCTTTTATCAGAATGTTCCCAGGTGCAGCTAAACACAGAGATAAGGGGTGCAGCAAAGAGCAGGAGCTGAAAGCAGCCACTGACAAGCCCTAGGCTCTGTTACACGGCAAATCAAGCGAGCTCCGTGACCCGCGCAGAAGCCTGCCAACTAACAGCTGCCACAGCTATAGTATGCCCAGATCAAAACTGTTATCTCATGCCCCACGTTGGGTGGCAATAAAAAGGACTGGCGGGTTGATCTTGGCCAGCTGGCAGACGCCCACCCCGGCGTTTTCGCACTCCTCCTCCTCAGCAGGACAGGGGGAAAAAATAAGATGAAAAAAAAACCGCTCATGGGTCAAGATAAAGACAGTTTAATAAGAAAAGCAAAAGCTGTGTGTGCAAGCAAAGCAAAAAGAGGAATTCACTCCCAACTCCCCATCGGCAGGCAGATGTCCAGCTGCTCTCTGGGAAGCAGGGCCTTGGCAGGCGTAACAGTGGCTTGGGAAGACAAGCACCATAATCCTCCCTTTCCTGAACTTTTACCAAACCAATGTGCAGCCTCTCATTTGTGTGCCGTTTGCCACGTGAAGCTCTGTGGATTGGATCAGGGGGCTGGGAAGTGTGATCTGTTGAACCCTTGGCAGAGACCCCGCAGTGAATGAGTGTCTGCCTTAATACGTGTGCAGGACGGGGACGGGGGGTTGTGTGTGCTCCTGTGCAGCCCAGTGGGTCTCTACTTGGAAGGAGATTTAGCACCAGAGAGCAAGCGCCTCTTGCATTGGGACACAGGAAAGCTTTGCAACTGGGAGAAATGCTGCCTGCAGTGCTGATGGCCGGCAGAGCGCAGCGTGGGTGAGGCAACCTGTACCTGGGTTGGTTTGTTCGGTCATCCAGTTGCTCTTGAGGGACTTTCCTGGGGTTCGCTTCCAAGCCTGGAGTTCACGTCATCCCTGGATGGGTGTTCCTGTTCGTGTCAGCTAACAAGGTAGGGGTATGTCATGGATCATATCCCGGGCTGCTGTGTGCAGGTCAGGCACTGCAAATGCTGTGGATCTGCATACGCCAGGATGTTTCACAATGACTGCTCAGAAACTGTATCTTGAAGTGTTTGTATGCTTCAGAATAAAAGGCACATCTGCATCTTTTTCTTGTCCCCAGCCCTGACCGGCAAGAGCTGCTTGCAAAAGAGTCCAGACCCATGGTCTGGAGGGAAACAGGCGTCAGGTGGCGTGGGATGAGGCAATATTTGTCCCTTTATGCCAAAGAGCACCAGAGGAATCACTGGTGGAGCGTGAGCAGCGAGACAGCAGGAACACATTCCTTCTGGAAATGTTGCTACAAGTACATAGCATAATGCTTGCTGAGTGCTCCTTCCAGGTCTCCATGAGGAGAAAATATTAGTGCTTTACATAGGTGGCTACTTAGCAGGTACTGGGGTAGGAGCGGTGTCAGGGGCTGTGCTGGGAGCTCTGCTCTTGGGAAAGCCGCCAGAGGTGCTGGAGGAGCTGCACCTCTGGGACTGCAGAATAAATTAGTTTAATGCAGTGTGCAAACAGAACAAGGTTGCTCCCTACATAGGGTTTGGTAATGAGCTGTCATGGTTTACCCCGGCTGGCAACTACGCACCACGCAGCTGCTTGCTCACTCCCCCCTCTCCCTCAGTGGGATGGGGGAGAGAATCGGGAAGAAAATAAAAGGTTAGAGCCGAGGGCTGAGATAAAGACAGTTTAATAAGAGAAAATAATAATAATAGTAATAATGAGAATGGTAACAGAATATACAGAATATACAAAACGAATGATGCACAATGCAATTGCTCACCACCCGCCGACCGATGCCCAGCCCGTCCCAAGCCGCGATCACTCCCCCTGAGTCGCGATCAGTCCCTGAGCTGCGATCACTCTCCCCGCAACCGACCGACCGACTAACCCCCCCGAGCATGACGTTCTATGGTATGGAATAGCTCTTTGGACAGTTTGGGTTAGCTGTCCTAGCTGTGCTGTACTCCCAGCTTGTTATGCACCTGGGCAAGCAGGAGAAGCTCAAAAAGTCCTTGAGTAGTCTGAGCACTACTTGGCAACAACTAAAAACATCAGTGTGTTATCAACATTCTTCTGGTACTAAATCCAAACCACAGCACTATGCTAGCTACTATGAAGAAAATTAACTCTATCCCAGCCGAAACCAGGACATGAGCCTACAATAATCTGTGTTTTCTGAGGCACAGCATGCATTTTTCAGGTGGCTGTTGAGTGTTCCATTTGGTCTCATACAGCCTGCTCTACTGCAGTTTGCATTTGTACCTGTATTCAATTTCAGATGGGAAGCAGTAGCAAGAAGGGGATGCTCTGTCATTTCCAGTGAGCTGTGGGATTCGATTTCCACATGGGCAGTGTCCCTGGACATGTTTTCAAAGCAGCCAGGAGCTTGACCTCTTCTGAAAACTTCCCCAGGTATTTTGGAGCCTGTGCAGGATATAAACTTTTTGGAGGATCTGCTCCAGAGAATAACTTCTGGTTTTCAGCAGTTTGATTCTGCCACTTCCTTTCTCCTCCTGAAAATACAAAACACAAAGCAGAAGTCCAGTATCCTGCCTATCTGTGTGCTAAAGCCTCTGCTTCACTCTCACAAAGTGTGCTGGAGCCGTGCTGCACCATTTCTCTCACCTCCTGGCTGAGGAACATCATGATGGTGGTACAAAGCTAAAACACCAAAATCTGGCTCCATAGCAAGGAGATGACAAGGGTTACTTACTAGGACATCTGAAAAGACGGTTGAATATAGGCAGGGAAATGTATTTTTCCTCCAATCTCATTCAAAGGACAGGCTGAAACCGTTCTGCTAAACTTTTTGAAAGGGTTCAGCCCAGGGCTGAGACATGGCATGGAAATACTCAGCAGCTGCAATTAGAAAGCCCTGAAACCCAGGATATTAGCGTGGACTGAGTAGGGGACGTGGACATGTCAGGGGTGTTAGACTAGATGATCTTTAAAGGTCCCTTCCAACTCAAACCATTCCGTGAGCCTGTGATCTTAGTGTGGACTGTGTAGGGTGACCCCAAGTTGTTGGCTCCTCATGTTATGAGTAGATTTTGCAAAAGGTCAATGCCTTTGGGGTTTAGCAGAGGAGGGAAGTCCAGATGGGTGCCACTAATGCGGGGTGCACAATGTGCCATAGGTGACATCGGTGTCTTTCTTTATGTTCCCGTGGCAGGATTGCTGTGGGCTGGTCCTGCCCTCCAGTGCCTGCAGCACAGTCTCCCTCTGCCTCCTCTCCTCTCCTTCTTGCACCCACGCACACGCACTCGAGGGATGCTGCTGTGGCTCTGAGCAGGGAGCGGGACCTGCAGACCGCTGGACCTCCCCTGTGCCACCGTGGGTGCAGAGCCAAAGAGCAGTGGTGGACATCAGGAGAAGCCCTATGGGGAGGTGGAAGGCTTCTTGTCAAACCCACAGGGGTGGAAGGCTTCTTATCAAACATAAAGTCAAAACCATTTCCTTCCAGCTGACACATCCAGGACTCAGTGTTCAAAAAACTGCAGTTGTTGCTTTCTGCAGCAGCCAGGCACCCGGCAGCTCCCAAGCCCCGGCTGTGCAGATCCATGTGCAGACAGTGGCCGCCTGCCAGACCCATGCACTGGGGAGCAGCAGCCCCTCTGCAGGCCCAGACCCACACCCAACTGGCCACCTTCATTTCTGTGTCTCCTCAGCCTGAGTCACAGCTTTGAGAGTCTCACTTAAAAGCCTATCATTTATATCAGCTTGCTATTGCTCCATGGGGTCTGGTCTAGAGGGCAGCAGCGCTTCCTGCAGGCATCGGAGAGTGCCCTAGGAAACGCCCAGTGTAGGAAGAGGAGAGAGGCTGCAGTGTCCCAGCTAATGCAGTCGCTGTGCTGTGGGACAGGCGCTGACAGGGGGCCTTCACATCTGCTGGTGGTGAAGTTGGGCACGTGGAGACCACAGCCATGTTTTGATCTTTAGAAAACGCAGATGTGGAGGCTGCCTGGGACCGCTTTGAAAGATGCACGGCACAACCGCAGGCTTTCACGTGCCTTTGGGAAGCCTCCAGTGACATCTCCTGACGCCCTCTCATCTACTCAAGGACATGCACTGCTGTAATGCTTGCCTTTCAGTCAAGATCTCGTCATTCAAGATCTTACAATTAACCGCACACTCAGCTGCCGTCGGGGATTTCTGAATGATACTTCTGCTAAGCAGAGAAAAAAGCACACGCATGCCTCTCTCTGGAGGAAGCGTCATCTGCCTGACTTTAAGTGAGATTTGCTCAAATAAAGAAGTAGCGGCTGCTGCAGCATGAATTAACGTCACATTTTGTTTGTGTTCCTGCAGGGTGGCTGACAAACTGCCTAGACCAAACCTCGTCTTGCTCAAGCACTTGCTGTCTCTGCTCCAGCACATCAGCCGAAATGCCGAGACCAACAGGATGGACTCCAGCAATCTGGCCATCTGCGCTGGCCCAAACATGCTGAGCCCGGAGACGGACAACACGCTCCCGCTGGAAGTGCAGAAGGAGATGAACGACAAGGTGTGCAGAAGCTGAACAAAACAGTGTCCCTGGACCTCGGGGGTGCCCCTCAGCTCAGGCGCCTGCAATGCGATGGGCAAGGCTGCCCCTTGCCTCGCCTCCTCTGAGCAAAAGCAGCAGTTGCCTTGCAGTCCCCTACATCGTATCACAGCTCCTGACTACTTTGCACGCAGAGAGCAAGGGGCACCCTTGGGCATTGCCACCTGCGGGCCCTCTGGAGAGAGAGGCTGAGGCTGTGGCTGGTGGCGTTTTGGTTGTATCGGGGCAGATCAATTAGTCTGCAGCATCAGGCCTCATCTTCCAGAGTGGGATCACCCTCTGACTTCAAGCTAGTGTTTCTTGCCAAGAAAGGTTGGACCAGATGATCCTTGAGGTCCCTCCCAACCTGCTAGTCTATGATTCTAGGATTTTGGCAGAAGCCACCCTGCTCTGTGCTTCCTTCATACAGAGACAGCAGCCAGGAGCAGGAAAGACTGTTCAATGTTTTCAGCCCTCTTGACTGAAATAAACTGTTTTCTGTGTGCAGGTGACGGTGTTGGTGGAGTTCCTCATAAACAACTGCTCAGAAATATTTGGGGAGGACATTGCCTTGCCTGTCTGTGCCTTGGCTGAGGAGTCACCGGAGCACACAGACAGCTCCACAGGTATGAGAACAGACCAGGGGTGTCACAGACTGGGGCTGCTGGGCCAAGTTCCTTGATCTGATATGGGAATACATCTGTGGAAACGCAGAGAGTAGCAGAGGGTTCCATACGTTATAGCAGTGTTTTTCCACAGGAACTCTTTCCAGAAGTTCAAAATGACAACGCTCACAAAACAAAATTAAATCCCGATGTTAAACATCTGCCTCAAACATTCTGTTACAGATGTGCTGATACCTCAAGAATCTTTCTGGCAGGGTTCGAAACAGAGCGTCATTCTCCAAACCTAGAAGATCCAGACATCTCTGTTTTGCCACTGCTTCTCAGGAGGAACAGGCTATGAAAAGAAAGACACGTTTTCATCATAGCTGATATGCTATCAGTGTCCTTTTTTGCACTTGCCTTATCAAAGTTAAATCCTCCAAGAGCTGTTTATTCTTCAAGGTGAGCTGAAACTTAAAGGTCTAGATGCTGGCTTCAGAAGTCTGTGGAGTGAAATGTACTTTCAGGAGCCATTTTCAAGAAGAACAGCAGATGTTACAGAGAACACAGCATCAGAGCGTGCACAGATGCCTGGTTTTAAGTTGGGTTTTGAGTTTTGGTTTTGGCTTCACAGAAGTCATTTTACTGTTCATTTCTTGGATAATGCTTGCCTTACTGAATTGTAAGGTTTAACAATCACAATGAGGTCTTGAAGCTTTTGCCTTCTAGAGCTGTGTCCAGAAGAGCAGCAAGAGAGATGTACACAGAGTCAGAAAGGTGCTTTTCTGGACAGATAACCTTCTTCGTTCTTCACCCAAGAAGAGAGAGGAGGACATGTGGCCATGCAAGTAGGAAAAGGAGAGGTGTAGGTCCTCAAGCACTGTCAAAACGTCTCTGCTGTATGAACCAAGTTTCTGATGCAAAACCAGAAAGGAGCTTCTCCTCACAGAAGGTATTAAAACAAAACTCTCTCCAGTGTATGCTGTGAGGTGAAGTACAGAATCAAGGAAGGTGATTCTCCATGTGCACTGGTTCTGCTGCTCTCAGCTAAGAACTACAATGCTGAGAAATGTTCTCCCTGGTAGAAATAGTGTCCAGCCCGAGAATGGGTTGGGAACACAGAAATAGGGCCCAGGTGGGTGCTCTGCTTCTCCCTGGCAGCCCCCCAGTGACTGTGGCAGGGTGTGTGGTGCCTCGCTCCAGCCCACTCATCACTTGGCTCAGGGTGTTATCCAGTCACATCTTGAAAATCTCCAAGGACAGAGACTGCACAGCTTCTCTGGGTGACCTGATCTACCACCTGACTGACCTCAGGGCAAGAAAGGGATTCCTTAACCCCAAGCTGAATGTCCCTTGTTTCAGCTCCTGCCCATTGCCTCTCATCCTCCCACTACGCGCTGCTGGGAAGAGCCCAGCTCTGCCATCCTGCTGACCCCCCACAGGTGCTGGGAGGCTGCTGTCAGGCTCCACTGAAGCCACCTCTGCCCCAGGATGAACGAGCCCTGATCCCTCAGCCTCTCTGCGCAGGACCAGGACTCCAGCACCAACCATCTTGGTGGCCCACCGCTAAACTCACTCCTGTTGATGACAATTCCTTCTTTTTGTGCAAAACCCAACCCATCAACTACCAACGGAGTTTTTTGCAGCAGCTCTGTATTGTCCTGTTCTATGTATTAAGCCCCTCCACGTTCAGTGGTGGCCTTTTTAATTTGTCATATCTATTAATCAAATTATATATTTCAATCTGGGAGTTGAATTGTTGCCATGTTCATTGATTTGGAAGGGCTATGAGGTTTGGAAAACTGACAAAGGCTATATGTAGGTGACAGTCATAAAGAACAGGTGTTCATCCACTGCTTTTCAGACACACAAAATACTTCGGTGCCTTCCTTGGTTCCAGCGTTTCCCACCAGCACCAAATACCATGCTGCATACAGGCAGTCTCCTGGTTAGTCCTTGTTCCTGGCATGGTGCACAGTATACGGGGTTTTTTCAGATGGAAATATATTTGGGGAAATACAGCTTTGTAAAATACTTCAATGGGGATTTGCCATTTAAACTCGTGCACAGCCTTTAGAAAGATTTAAACTGAATTTACCCTATATTACCAGCAGATGTCACTGATAACACTAAAGCAAAACTCCTTTACCTACGGTTAAAGTCCCCTCAAAGGCAGCCTTTGCACACTCAGCTATTGTCCACAGTTTGCACCATGGCCATGGGTGGTTTACGTTGCAGGCATTAATTTAGCATTTGTCATGTGGAACTTATTCAGTGTAAAGCCCTTCCTAGCACTGTTCCTGCTTATCAAGCATTTTGGGTTGTGTAATATTTCTGCCGGAATCTCCCTAGGTTGGATGGAGATAGGCTCAGGGACCAGGCTTGCCTAAACGTACATCCATGGGAGTGTCCGGGAGACCAGTGTCAGGCTTCCTGATTCAACCTGGCAAGGTACCAAAAATCACGCTTTCCGTAGCTTCAGGTCAAAGTCAAAAACCTGAAAACTGAAATGGTAATAAAATTCTACCTTCTGACTTGTACCAAAATGGTTGCAGCAGGAAACAGAGGATTAGGCTCATCCTGTAGAGACCGACATGGGGCTTGATGTAGCTGATACAGAAGGGGATGCTAGCAGCCACCCTCATCCCCTTGCCCAGGGCAGGTGGAGGGGACAGACCCAGCCAGGGTGGGCCTGGGGGCTATGACTAAGAGGAAAGCTATCATCACATTTGCCTCTTCTGCCCTGACAGAGCCTCGCATGGGCATCTCAACAAGCAACAAAGCAAAAGCTGCTCTCTCCAAAGCTCTTTGGGTTCAGAGCATTATATGCCATGTGTGCTAACCCAGCTGGCCAGATCCCAGACTGAGAGTGAGATGTCAGGAATGACACCTGAAGAGACACCTGTGGAGACCTGCTCCACATCTCATACCCTCAAAAAGGACATCCAGACTTCTCACTGGACAACTCGTACCTGTGGCTTCACAGGCAGACCCTGCCTTCCCTCCACCCTGGGCTGGGATGCCCAGTGATAACCAGGGCAGCTGTTGCTTACAGGGAAAAGCTCCCTTGGAAGGTGTCAGGTGTTGACCTCTCTCTGCACGTAGTTGAAAATCCGAAGTAAGGAGATGTAACCACCAACAAATCCACTCCATGGTTTGATGATCAGTAGATCTGAATGTGTTAGAACTGAGTGTCTGTAGTCAGATGGTTTGAGGTCAAAATCAGGCTAGCAGACCATGGGCACTTTCTAAGGGTGAAATATTCCTCTGTAAACCCTGTTTTTTAAGTTGCAGTAACTCAACATCCTGTGCTATATTTTTCATTTATCATTCATTTCTAAAAGTATCCAAATATATGTCATTCATCTGAAATTAAAATAATCCATGCTCACTACACCTGCCTGTTAGTATTTGAGAACAATTGCTCAGTTTCTTTTGATGACACAAAAGACTGGAGTCAAAGGCTAGCAGTGAAAATTTGGTGTAGGTATTGAAGTCAATGGGACCAAGATTTTGCATTAGTTCTGTTTCCATGATGACAGAGACTCCTCTCATGACTTCATATAAATCAGCCTCATTATGGTTAACTTTATCTGGATTAAAATAAATAAAAAGGACATTAAGATGTGGTTTGTGAGAAATGTAAATGGTTTAGCTTATTTAGTGGAATATTATATGTCAGTTTTAGGGATTACTCATAATTGGATGCCTTTTCATATCTTTACAACAGATTTAGCATCACTAACAGGATTGCTGTGGGTATTCGTGAAAAGATTCAAGCAACCGAATGCTGACTTGACTATTTGTTTTGGAAGTTATCCAAGGGGAAGGTGGTCAACTGGAAGATTTTCATTTCTGCCACTTCTGCTTTGTGCTTTAGTAGCTGGAAAATTTTGTTAGAGAATGTTGAATTGCTGTACTTAAATTGTCTGTGATGTTATTTTTGTTCTTAAATTGCTATAAGAAAAATTACACTGCAAGAATTCAGGAATATTGGCTTATGGAAGGAAAGACCATGTTCAAGAGAAATTCAAAAGCTTGTACATCACATCTGATTTTTACGGAACATTAAAAGTCCTGTTCAGGAGGTCCCTGTCCTCACCTACCTGAGGTGATATGACCTATGCACAACTATAGAGAAGAAGGCAGGTTTAGTCATAGCTGGAAAGATATACTCTTGATTTCATAACAACATTTTTCTAAAAGTAGAATGTGAAGAATTTGATTGTTTGTTTATGGTGTGAAATTGTCAAGAGACTCTAAGGTCAGCCTGAGGTGTTTTAGCTAATGCTGCTTGGGATTTCACCCTCCACCTGCTACAATGCAGGTAGAGGGTACTTATGGAAAGTTATGCAAGAACGTTAGATATTTTTCCTGCAGCATCATTCGTATGAGAGAGTGCCATTTTTACTTCATTAGAATTTACAAATACAATCCAAGCCTGTAAATCATATCTATACTTTAAAGTCTGTGCTTAAGAAAGCAAATGTGGCATGAAGATAATACACAGAATCACAGAATGGCAAGGGTTGGAAGGGACCTCGGGAGATCACCCAGTCCAACCCCCATGCTAAAGCAGGTTCTCCTAGAGCATGTTACATGGGACTTCATCCAGGCAGGCTTTGAATATCTCCAGAGAAGGAGACTCCACAACCCCCCTGGGCAGCCTGTTCCAGTGCTCCGTCACCCTCAAAGTAAAGAAGTTTTTCCTCATATTCAACTGAAACCTCTTATGTTTCAGTTTGTGCCCATTGCCCCTTGTCCTGTCGCTGGGCACCACTGCAAAGAGTCTGGCTTCGTCCTCGTGTGTGTTGATGAGGTCCCCTCTCAGTCTTCTCTTCTTCAGGCTACTACACTGTAAAAATTATCTTACAGTATATTTTCAAAATGTATTAGAATAGGGGAAACAATTCTTTTAGCCCTAAACTGTGGTGCAGTATGTGTTCTTCTGGCAACAGCTAATGGCTGTGTTTGGTAAAAAACTCATAAACCTGTTTCCATCCTCCCTAAATACAATATTTGTTTAATGATAAAAGCGCTATGGGCACCAGGGATGCTTATTTGATGAAAAAATATT